GATGCATATACATGTTTTTATGTTGTGTAGCAAGTTTACGAATTTTTAAAGTTACTAAAAATCATATAGAAAGCCCAAAGAGAGATGGAGTGAGATTATGATACTAATAGAGAGAGGAGAGGGGGAGGAGGTGGAGGAGGAGAATGACAAACAAGACTAACAAGATTACAAATGCACTTACATTTCCTTTAGATGTTCGTTAACTTTTAAAGACTCCACACTCAAGAGATCTCCGATAAAATTAACGGTAAAATCTAATTTCTGCAAAGACTCACAACCTTAAAAATAAGCAAAATTGAAAAAATAAAAATAATTACAAGATAACAAATCTATATTAGGTATCAAGGATTAATGATAAGTTAAATTAATACTAAAATAAACTAATAAACAATAATAATAGTACAGTACGTGACCTTCCTCTCTCCCTCTGATGTGAAGGAACATGATGACACAAATACTTACAAGACAGTACAATAAAACATAAACAAAGTCATACCGTACATACAATTTAAATTCACATGTACATGTACATATATTTTATATGTATATATACCTGTATGTGTACATGTACTGTGTGTATATGTACTATAGTTAATGTACATGTATGCCTTATATGGACATGTACATTGTATGCCTTATATGGACATGTATATGTATACCTTATATGGACATGTACATGCATGCCTTATATGGACATTTACATGCATGCCTTATATGGACATGTACATGTATGTCCTTATATGTACATGTACATGTATGTCCTTATATGGACATGTACCTGAGAGGTTTTCGACCTTTGTGATATTATTAAGAGCTAAGTTAAGATATTCCAAATATTTAAGCCTCCCGACATTTTCTGTAGGAACATAACAAAATGAATAATCTGCATGTACATAAACAATTCTAATTTATGTGTATCATTAATTAATTAATTATTAATCAAAGGCCCCACCTATTTTAGGGATGAGGTTACTCTGAAGGTAGAGTATCTTAAGGTTCCGGCACCATTTGTCCAAATGCTCAATCCTAATGTTGCAAAGAAAGTTAATAATAATAATGATAAAATGGAGTCATTCAATACTTCTCTATATCTTGCTGGTGTAGGGATATTTCTTCTAGTGTCGTTATTTCAAGATTATTGTGTTCTGATCTTCTTCTAATAAGCTCCTCAGTTACTGAAGAGAAATATATAATTAAAAGAATTTGAAGTGGAACTTACTTCTGGCCATAATGTTTTGTAACTATGAGAAACAAAATACTATGGTCTTGAAAGGGTTAAAAATATTCTCGCTCATTTTAATTTCGCAATTCGCCGCCGAAAAAAGGTGGAGTCTCAAGGTAAGATTTTCACAATAAAAATCAATTTCTAAGTTAAAATTAAGAAATAAAACTGATAACAGCTCTAAGTACATAAACTACACATGTTAGGAACTAAATAAAAAATAATTATCACAATTTAAAGGTAATCTGCCTGTTTATTTTATTTGACATATATCTCATACAAATGAACTAATACATTTTCATTGCTTGATCCTTGATCACAGCATATCCTCAACTCAAGGTAATCAGCAGATGCAGCATTACCATAATCTCTGAAGAACCATGGTGGTGATGTGATGTTTTTTGGTTCACAACAAGCTGATTCGAAAGCTGAGCAATTTTTACCATCCCACAATTGATTATTTAAGTATATAACATCTACATAATTAAATGTATCTGAATTTCCTGACTCACAATAATAATTATTTTTAACAAAACTAGGAATGCTAGCACTACTACGATCACTGCAGGGACAGCTTGTCCGTACATTTGAATTCAATCCAGATATGTAAGACCAGACATGTTGCCGAGGTGACCCACGTGTGATACTAACACCATCAAGGTAAGGAGAATCAATGCTTGTGTTGCCACTCCTGATACCATCTGTTGTACCTCCCTGGTATGCAAGTACTCTACCACATATTTGAGTATAGCTTATGTCACCTGTTAAGAACTTTACAGATCTGCAGGCACCATCAGGATTAGGTGGTAATCCACAAATTCTAAGACCAAAACTTGAAGTCCATGTAGTCCAGTGTCCAGATGCTGGACAGTTTTGTGTACTGTCATTCATATCAAGATAAGCTATTCTTGTCCATCCTCCTTCTTGTCCACACAAATGATCCATATTGCAGTAAATGTTACGATTGTTGAAATGATAGTAACCTGTTGGACTGTTTGGCTGTACTGCTTTAATATTCCTGCATGAAACAGGTCTTACATAATTAAACAAAGAGGATCCATTTTGTATCTCTAATAATTCACTGACTATTAGTAGTATATCATTAATGGCAGCAGTAGTCGGAATATCTTTAACGATACTAGCATTCAACAATTGAAGAATTTTATCTGAAGACCTGTTAGTGAGGTTATCATGTACTGCAATATGGCTCATAACAGAATCCATTGCATTCTGGAGGAACAGTGAGCTATTGTTAGTAGCAGTGTTATTAGCAAAATGCTCTAGTATGTAATCCATTTTATTCTGAAGAAGAGTAAGGCTGCTGTTTATACCTGCATTGCCAGTGAAGCCAGAATTAATACTGCCTGATGTGTCACTTATGCATGAAATTTTTGATGCCAAGTAAAACAACATGGCCAGTATACTCACCAACAGTAGCAGTATGAGTACCAATATGGAGATAAGTAAGACCTTCCCTACAGTACACTGAGGAGATTTAGTAGCACTAGCTCTTGTATCATCTGATCTCCTATTCAGAACTTCATAAGGTGCATCATAAACTTGAGTAGGTGGATTTGATTTTTGATTTGAACGCAATGATGGTCCAGACTGATGTGAGAGACGAGAATAGTCCCCAAACTCTGACTCTTGATACCTTACATTATCATCATCTGTCTGTGGTATTTGTGAAGAGGTTCGGCTCAACTGAGTGCCATGATTATCAGCACAGTCATAAAGAGGAGTAGTTGGTATGTAATTCTTGTTCTCCATCTCCAGAGACTAGAGTTTGCTTAATGGCAGCCTCGCTACATGTGTTTGCTTTATTTATTTGTCACTCAACACAAAGGGATTTTGTCTATACTGTTACTGAAAGAATAATTATTTATTGGTTCTAAAAGGTAATACAGTACGATACAATAACAAAATTGTTTACTTGGAGCCATGCATGGATGTCAGGCAAAGTAAACAACATGATTAAAACAACATAACACATACAGAATAACCAAAACATCAGTGACTGCATGATTAACACTTAAATATATGTACTGACTTATGACGATGCTTACATCACAACTACTTAATTAAAATGAACACAAACAAGAATAAAACTTAATATACCAGGCATTTAAATGTTAACTGGCAATCAATCACTCAACAAAACTTTCACTAGCTACCAATAAAAGACAAATGCATGAAATAGTTATCATTTGATGTAAATCTCATACAATTCAATAAGAATGTCTTCATTATTTCGATCCCCACTACGACAAACTCTTAGCTCAATATCACTGGAAGATGAAGCATCATAAACTCTGTGGAACCACGGGAGATTATTTGATGTACAGCAAGGAGATTCAGCCGAAGGGCAATTTTCCCCATCCCACAATGGATCAGGATAAAATTTTGAATTATCAATTTGTGTGCCATCATTATTTCCTGACTCACAGTAGTAGTGGTCTTTAATGAATGCTGGAACCTGAACGGCAGATCCATCATTGCAAGGACAATCTGACTCTGATGAAGTAGTTGATCCTTTTCCAGATATAAAAGACCAAACATGCTCACGAGGTTCAGAACCACGTGTGATAATGACACCATCAAAATAATTGGAATCAATAACATTGTGATTAGATCTATAGAGAAAAGCATCAGTATCGCCTTTTTGGTATCCAATCACTTTACCACAAATCTGAGTGTATGTAATGTCATTGATTGGAAGAGTCAAAGCACTGCAACCAGAATCATGCTCAGTTTTTCTACAGGTTCTAATGCTATGATTCATTTCTTCAAAATTAGAAGGGCAACTTTGTGTAGGATCAGACATATTGAGATACCCCAATCTTGTCCATCCT